AGTTACAAGAAATTCTATAACCTAAGGATTTAGTGAAAGCTTCAGTAAAAATAAAATATTGAGTGATCGATCGAGGATACTAAAATGTAAATTTGTTCTTAAAGAAAGGATGTTAAATTTGATTTAACCTTAGGTCAGGCTGAGAACATTAAATCACGCACTTCTTGGAAGGCAACCCAAGTGTTACTGTGTGTTTTGAGCATATTTTTGTTTTGTGTTTGCTTGATTTTGTTTTGAGTATGTTTGGTTGCTTTACTTAACAAGTGTTGTTTTATTTTTTGGTGGAGTCTTTACTGAGTTGATTGGAATGATCACATTTGGACTTTTCATATTTGTGCTTTGATGTAAACTGATATTATTTTTTTGGACTCTTATATATTACACTCATCAATCATCAAGTGATGTTGTTTTTTTGCATGTATTTTTTATTTATATTTTCAAGTATTGCACGCTAGATTTAGAGAAAATGTATGTATACTTACCTAAAAGTAATTAACATAACCAACTGATATAAGTTACTTTAGTATAGTTCATATTGAGCGAGTTCAGGTCCGTCACTCCTGTCTGGCTGCAACCAGGATTTTAATTGGATTTAGCGGAGCACCGGATAAAAATTTGCCACTTCTTGTGTTTGATGGATTTACGTTAGATCCAGCCGTATATCCTATTAAAAGTATGCTACCAAACACCCATATTCTGGTTTAGGCTACTAAATTCATGATTTGACTAGATTTATCATGGGTTCATTTGGGGAAGCTTCTCTGAAATCTGTTAGAGCTTTGATTAGCTGTAACATTTTATTATTCTTCAACAATTTGTATTGAGAAAATTAACTTTTTTACAATCAGATCTGTTAGAAATGATGGTTATAAGAAACTTATTATCTATTTTACTTTTAAAGAAAAATTATAGTACCAAAAATAACTTTTAAAAATATGATTTCTCTATAATATGATGAGAAGTTTAAGGTTGAGCATAAAAATCTAAAATTAGTGTGTAATCCCTTTCCTAATTAATACAACTTAAAAGCTTTCTTAATAAAATTCTTAGAATTTAAAATATACAAAACATTAAGTGATTTTGAGTTGGTTAATTGAATATTAATTGAATTAAAAATGTATCTATGAAAATAAAAATATTTTAATAACACTATATTAAGTGCTTTGAGATTCGCTTAGGCTCAAATAGAGGCGGATTGAATGAAGGCTAGAATAAAAGAAATTAAAGAAAATCCAAACATAAGATGGTTTTCACGAATAATTTTCGATAAATTATAGGATTTTATTACAAAACTAAAAATTTCCACAAGAGTGCTATGTAAATCATTCAACTAAGTCTAAATTTAAGTTATATGATTACTTGATGGTAAGTAAAATGTAAGTTTGGTGAATTGATGTGAATCAAATATGTGATATTTTTTATTACTATTTTTTTTGTAAATTAGTTTATTATTATTATGATAATTTGCTTGTGAAAGGTATATTCATTATTTTTTTGCATTATATGCAGAATATAACACAATTCAGGGAGCAAAAGAGCTGAAACATACGTAAAATAAAAAAAAAATTGTAAAAGATATGACATAATGTGGAATAATTATGCCAGAAAATATGACATAATTATGCCACAAACTCGAAAGGGAATCATAATTACGTCGGTCTATGACATAATTACATTGTTCCATATGAGTTATATCAGTTTTTGGAGTAGTAATGCTGACATTTGTACGGACTTCTTTGTCGAATTAAACATGTTTGAAGGTGGTTTTGTAACCCTAATCTATATAGGAGATGTATGAACACCTAGAATTCATTTTTTGGTCTTGGGGATTTTGCCTCTAAGGTTCAGGAGAGTCTTTGAGGCTCTAAGATTTACCATTAAGGCTCCTCCAAGACATTTTTTTCTATTTTTTCCTCTTTTCATATTTTTCTGCTGACAGTTTTGAGTGGGTGTGAGGAGAGACTATCTCGAGTTTGAATTTTTTTGCCTCTTCATTGGTTTTTTTTATACATGCAATAACAATTTTTGTGCTTTCTTTTCTCATGCATTATAGTTAATCTTATTTTTGCACTTGTGTGATATAAGAAAATGTGATTTTCTCGTTGTTTTATCATGTGGATTTTGTTTCATAGACTCCTTCGTGCTTGGATTTCATATGTTGAAGTTTTAACTTTTATACATTAATTTACTTTAATTTGACCCGATAGAATGTTAAAATTTCTTATAATCCAGGACTTCTAACTATCACCTGTAGGAAAAAAGTAAGTTAACACACAATAGTCCAATGTAATAAATATATTACGATTAGGAAATTAAAAAGTAGATAGGGGACGAGGATTCTCAGCAAATGTTGCATGGTTAAGCTTCCTTAATTGTATATGATTTTCAATACTTTTTATGACATTGACATAGTCTAAGGAGGACTTGTCCCATGATGTTTATAATAATGTGAGATTTCATATGAAAAATATCAAGAAATCACTAGATCAATGTCACAGGAGCAGGAACCTTTCATCTTTAGAAAACATTCAACAAAACTTAGTATAATTTTTTGTATTTTAGGATTTTAAAATTTCTAACCTTTATGCATATGATACTTCAAACTATATTAGGAGATTTAGTAAACTAAAATTTTTCATCTTAGAAGAATGTGACAAATTTCGTTGTGGGATTGATACACTGACCTGATTCCTTTATTAGGGATTGATACATTGACAAAAAAAATTTATGCAGTAATTTTTAGGTATCACAGAGTTTGTCAATGCTCATGACCTGATTCCTATTTATCATTACTTTCCCAACACTATCAACGTGTCTAGTTTCATCCTACCTTTCCAAGTTTAGAGGGACTCTTTTGCCTTTAGGTGTCAGAATATCTTATTGTGGTTGTTGATCCTATTTCCAATTCAGCACACCTCTGATCATTTTTAGCAATTTATTCTTCAGATCTTTGATCAGTTGTATCACAAATTTTTTGATGCACTCCACATTATCATCAGCCCCACTGTTATGAGGTCATTTTCCTTGCATGACTCTTCTTTTTAGGTGGCATGGTCCACGATCATTGCACATTTGAGAATATTGAATTCGAGATTGCCCATGAATTATACCCAAAGAAAAGAGGATAAAATAAACAGAGATAGAGAGAGTGAGATAATAATGAATTATGACAAAAATGTCCTTTAAAAAAAATTTCACCTTATTTATAGATGGATAATATAATAGTGATATTATATTTTTTTCCTCATTTAGATGGGGTATGTACTAAGGCATTTTGGATATTCTATAAGTATTGGCTTATCGTCAGACTTTCTTCTTGCCAGGCTAGCTAAGCTTAGTTGACTTCAGCATCATGAGGTCAGCTCAATTGGCTAAGCTTGGTTTATATAGTTTAATCAGTTGATTCAAATTGGTTGACTATCTTTGATCTCTGGTGAGTGGTCTTTTGGGTCTCCACAAGATGGTCAGAGGTACTTTGCAGAATGGATCTTTTTTTGGATTGACTCTAACAGGGGGTTAGCTATCGCATTGAGTCGACTTTCCCATAGCAATTGGCTGAGCTTAGCTGACTGAGCTAGGAAAACAACTAGGATACAAGCTCATATTAATAAATACTATAAATACACTTATACATACCACTTCAAAACAACAACAAAAATGTAACATCTTCATCATATCCACTCATCTATAAATATGAGGAATATTTAACAAATAAGATACGATTGATTACTGTTAATTACTTGGCCTCTTTTTTATTATTGAGATATTTACCTACGTACCACCTAATTTATGTATTCACATATCGAACACCTAAACTTTGATTTTTACTTACAAATCATCTCATCACTAACTTTTGATTATAGGTAGGGTGGTCGGTACATAAAATTTAAAGTTCAGAAATTTTATTGCGTCATTAGGGTTGTAATCGAGCCAAGCCGAGTCGAGTACATCATTGTTCGAATTTGGCTTGGTATAATTATAAGTTGTTCATGCTCGACTTGAGCTTGTGACGAGTTTTCATACTTGTTCAAGCTTGATTTGTTTAAAATTTTCAATGCTTGAACTTGCTTGGTACTTGATTTATTTATGAGAAGAGAGTAAGTATTTAAATAAACTAATAGAAGAGCTCTAAATTCAAATAAGAATTTAGTTTTTCATATAAAAAATTAATAAATAATTTTACAACTCTAATCACCGCTACTTATTTGCCAATTATGATATCTAAATCTTTGAACATTATTAATTAGTTACATAATTCTTAATAATAGGACCACTCAAGTTAAAATTTTGTAAGTGGGAGAACTAAACTGTTCATAAAAATTATACGAATGATCATTTACTTTATCATATCATATGGATTATCATGTACTTGACATAAGCTTTTTCTAAAAATATATAATCATTTTTATCATATTGTCAATCATTTGTGGGTTATCATAAAAAAAAAACGAGAAAGATCTCAAAAAATAAATTTTCTTCCCCCAAAAAATATGCATCCAAATTGATAATAATACTGAAGAACCTCACATTAAATGCTTGCACAAAATAATCTCCCAATCCATCATTGCTTCCCATAATAATAATAATAAAAAAAAGCCATTGTTGTTAGCAAAATTCTACAACACGATTGTTTAATACTCCTTAGTTGAGATAAATCTTGTAATTTCACATATAAGATATAAACTTTAAAAAAATAAATATATAATTAATAAAATATAAAATTAATTAATTATATATATATATATATATATATATAATA